CTAAGGTTCTCTGCAGTTTGGGTCAGGCACTGTGGTGTCAAGACGTCCGAGTGTTCACACTAGTGGCCACCCTATACCCTGGAGGCTCTTAAAAAGGAAGGGTAGGCGCAATTAGGATGACGTCACACATATTAACAAGCAGGACGCTGAGTAGGAGGAGAGGAGACAATATAGGAGTAAACGCGGGCGTTTGAAACTGACCGAGAGATCAACAACAAGGCTGAATCGGCTGCTCAATTGCAAAACGTAGTCTGCCACAGTAAAAAGTGTCTCATTATCAATATCTGTGACTTCTTAATCTCGCGGTTACCAGCAAACTTTTGATATTCGGGCGGCCTGATCCTCTTATTTGGGTCAATGGGATAGGACTACTGACTCCCAGTGCGTACCTCCCATAAAGGGGTCGGGAAAATAGAAGCAATAGAAAAAATCATCACCCGTCCGTGGTCCGCACGGCATTTTGAAATTCACACAGACACAGAATTCTCGGGCCGGCAAATCTCATAACTGAACACTACGTCCTTTTTTTCAAGGTTTGGAATGGATATGCAAATGGGTTGTTTCCTGTTGTCGCTTTCAAAACTTCTGAGAAACGATCTACCGCAGCTGGAAACTTGTGAGACAAAAGAGAAATTGCTCGTATAACTGGGGACAGAAAGACCCTTAGGGGGCTGGGGACAGCAGTCGAAGTTCCACCTGTAGCCAAAGGTCTACGCTGGATTAACCGCAACTCTCCTTTAGAGTGTGTAAAGTTGCCATGCCCAAGAGCGCTGTGGTTTGTGTTGAAAGAAAAGCCTACGGTAGGGTCCTGAGTGTCCTACTTGGAGACGCCGCATTATTGGTTATAAGCTCCGTGAACTTAACTTTCTCTATTCCAATACGCGACTACACCCAATACTATGTACCAGCCCACAGATTGTGCAAAAGCAGTCAGAAGTGCTTATCATAAGACAAAAGTATTGCCAGGGTTGACAGTGCCTATTTACACTCAAGTAGACATATTCATGATTTGTTCACACGTGTGAGACATTACTGCG